AGCCTCCCAGGCTGCAACCAGCAGCGCTGCTGGGAAAACCAGCCGTTTCTGGCAAAGAAAAAAAGGGAATCTAAAACCAGAAAGGGAAGAGGAGCACAATCACAGCTCTGTCTGTGGGCAAACAGACCACTCTGGAGAGCCAAATCGCTCCGAAAGCGGGGTAGGGTAACCTGGTGGCATGTGCTGGCCCTGCTGCACGCCGTACGGGATGCCAGGAGCTGGCACTGCTTTGCTTTAGGGTTTTTTTTTTTTTTGGTTTGTTCTTGTTTAAAAGGAAATTCAGCTTGGTTTTCAAGTTGACAGCTCTCTTGGAGAAAAAGTTGCTGCGAATGAGTGAATTAGTATAAATTGTAGTGTGGCGAGGGGCCAGGCAGCTGGAAGGTTTACAAACGCTTGAAATTCCTACGAGGAAGCGTTATTAGTTCTGTTATGAATTTAGGGAAAATGAGGCTAAAAAAGAAATTGCTTTTTCATCTAGATATCACCATCGAGCTTCTAGGAGACGTGTAGGAACTAAAATATCCCAGTTAGATACTACAAGAGCTTAAATAGTTTTAACCAGAAGATTACATGGAATGAGGAGAGTTACCTGTTGTGTATCATCGCGGTGTGACTGGAGTTCTACGAGAAAGCAGGTAGACATCATGGGCCGAGGGGCTGATGGAAACTAAAACCAACGAAAGGGAAAGGAATACATCACTGAAAACGTTGTCACATTACAACTGTCGATCCAGTGTTGAAGGTAGAGGTGTGAGGAGGAACATTAGTGCTCCCCTTGAAAGGCGTTGTGAGGCGGCGCTCGGCGTACGGCATGTCCTGCCTGCCGCGTGCCAGCTCGCTCGGGGGGGGCAGAGGGTTAATTTGAATCACCAAGGTGATTATGGAGCTGTAGGAACTGCCTTAGAAGATGGGTCTCAAACCTCAACAGCCTGGCAGATTACAAAGAGAAAAATAGACTTCTCCAGAGATGTAGAAGAATGGAAAGAAATTGCTTACAGGAGTACAAAGGCATCTAATTAGAATGAAACAGAAGATAATAAGATAGGGAGAAATTTTGGCAGAGTATATTAGAGAATAATTCCTGACATTGAATCTGTTAAGCAAGGGTAGAACCTCTCAAGGGGGGGTAGCAGGAGACCAGTTGATTGGAATATATAAAAGAAAGACTGTACAAAACATTAGAAACCCTACAACTGTAAAGGAAAATTCCTCTGGAACGACACCCAGTCGAACAGTTCTTTCCCATCTTTACGTTTATAAGCCAAGCTTTAGAATTGAGAGAGGAGAGAAGAGTCACAGCCATTTTTATACTCCCTCTCGGCTGCTTTTGCTTTGGTTCTTAACGTTATTATTTCTGCTTTCTTACACAGCAACTGAGCTCTGGAATCATGGCTGGGAATCTGAACGGATCTGAAACCAGTTGGGAGAGTGCTGCCCACAGCAGAGGCCACAACGGCAGACGGAAGCTGTACTTGAAAAGGAGAAGCCATGTTGTGCACTTTCTGCGCTACAACCTGAGCCTCCAATACCTCCAGTACCACCAGCACAAAGCTGAGCTTCTGAGTAAGTCTTCCTTTTACTTGAAGATTGAGCCCAGATACGTGCCAATAGATGAGAACCATGATGCGGCTTGCATTGACATCCTGGAACTAGTAGACCACTGCCGATTCCAGAGGGTGAAGAACTTGGGAAAAAAACAGGCTGAGATCCAGCTGTCACTTTTAACTGAGCTGTTAGAACATCTGGAACGAGGTCGGGAGGAGCTGAGCTGGTACGTAGAGACCTGTGACGCGGAAACTTTCCTCTCCCGGTGGGACTTGATTGAGCAGAAAGTGGGGAAGCTCTGCGAGTCTATGAAAGCTCTCGTTTCCTTGAGAGTGCCAGGAAATCTCTATGTCAAGGACCAGTTGGTGTCAAACACAGCTCTTGAAAGTGCTGAACTCCCCGACATCAGGCTTTCTCTCTGCACCAAGTTCCCACTGATTTTCGATCGGAGAGAGTCATTTGCCCACAAGACTTGGGCCAGGCTCAAGTGGTTTGATGAAAATCAAGAGTCACACGAAGAATATGACCTGCACTTCAAGCTACTGACAGATGAGAGTCAGGCACAAGCGGGATACGGTAGGATTCAGCAATTCACCTCCAAAGTGTGCATAGTCCGGGACCTGGAGCCTGGCAGATCGTACGAATTCACAGTTCGAAGATCAAACACCCAAATGTTTGTCCTCGAGAAATGGCACGACCACATTATACTGAAGACAAAAACTTAATGCTGTTGGAAGGCGCGGGCAGCAGCACTTGTGCACCAGAAGGATGAGGTGCCACACAAGAATATTCTTCTCATTTTACCCATTTGAAAAAAGACAAATGCGAAAAATTAAAAGAATGAGAAAAATTAAAAGTAAATTATTTTAAAGCATTTTATGTAAAACTGAACTCGTTCTGTTTTCAGCAACAGTTTGACAAACGCCTTCCCCAGATCTTTCCAGGTTAACAGTAACCTATTCCAAATTTCTCACACGAAATAACATCCTTAGGCAGCATCCGGGACTCAACACCAGCTTCTCGCTGCCTGAACTCGCGGGTGGGAGCAGCTGGGAGCAGGTGGCCTTGCTGGACACCTCGGATGCAAAGCACGGGAGATTGACACATCTCCATCAGCCAGTGCTTCCATCCACCAGAAGATGCCCAGTGCCAGCCTCTTGCAATGATGTTATGTTGTTTTTTTTTTTACTTCAATTCATTTTTTTCCCCACATCCTTCCTCCAGAACACCTGATCTGAATCCTGAGCTCTTCAAATCGCCCACCCCACCTTATCTCCATCTCTGCTTCCTCTCCCCTTCTACACCTTATAGTGCCTTATAGTTACCTAAGCGTGACTTCACGCTCACTCCTCTATGGTGCATGAAAAGATCACTCTGATTAAAAAACCCCACAACCACCCTAATCACCCCCTCAAAGCCCCTGCACCAAACAGGGAAGGGTAATAAATCCACACCACCAATGTGCAGAAGACAATCTTTTCTGCCACGTCCTGCAGTTAATGCTCATTTTCTTTCTGACATTTGGTTCAGTGCAAACATAGCTGTCCCCACACAGATTTCTAGCCAGACCATCACACAGACAGACCTTTTAGTAATAAAATTTATTATTTAAATAAATTCAGATCATCTTTTACAATTATGGCTTAAATATCAAAAAAAAAGGAATGTTCAGGTTCATTCTTACAAACAGTAGAAGCAGGTAAAAATATTTGTATTCAAAACGTCATTTGAGGTTTGCTGCAAGTCACAGACATACAAAAGATAAAAACCTGCCACATTTAAAGTTCCTTCATTGACACTTCATGACACTTCACATTCTATTTTTAAAAACCCCAACAATTTATTGCAGTAAATTGATTGTCCTACACAGATCTATCCAAATCTTCAAAAATAGCCCAGTGGGCTTCTCCTTTGCCAGCTGGAGCCGAGGAGAGAAGTTTCCTACTTCTGGACATCTGTAATATCCCCGCTGGTCCGAGCGGGACGCAGGGCAATGGCTGCGACCGCACGGACCGATGCCAGCTGCCGCCTGGCACCGTGCACAGGTTCCCGTTGTCCAACTTGGGCTCGAGCTCTAGTAGTGCCAAGGACATGAAGTTATCCTGTTGGATGAACCAACGTTTGTGTCCTGCAACAACGTTCTCGCGTCTGCGAGCTGTGGAAAACGTAGAGCCCGTGATGGGACAGATACCCTGTGCGCCATCCGGCCAGTGGTTTCCTATTGGAATTACCAAAGGTTTGGTGGTTTGGGTTTTTTAGAAGTATTTTATGAATATGTGCTTGAACATAAAATTCTTCCAAAAGTCAATTCAAAGCTCTGTGTGTAAATGAAACCGGACTACTTTCAACCTTTTTTTCTGTTATTAATTCCTACGATTCTCTCTATCCATGAGCATAAGGACAAGAACACGATACTCAGCGGTCACTGACAGTCTATAAAAAGTTTGACTAATTGCACTTTCTGCTATCCCTGACTATTGCAGCTGCATGACCAACTCTACAGGTACCTGCTCACAGCCCCAGAGTCCAGCCTGGCTCTTTCTGCTCCAGGGCAGCATTTTCTAAACACCAGCTACAAAATGCATCTTCAGAGGGAAAAAATAAAAATAAAAAAAGGAAGTACATTGTCTTGCAACACAGGGGTGACCAAGCAAAGCATTCCCATCGAGGCTTTACCCTCCAAGGGGTAGCAGCAAGCATTTTACCCTCGCTGAGGGCAAAGGGAGATGCTTTGTGAGGTCTTTTTCTTGGTCTATACAAACACACGGCCAAACCCCCCACAAGAGCATTGGTCTAAGCCACTACACCTGGGTGAGTCTCCTCATTTATGCTACATGTGAGGAAACAACCAGCAGAAAAAAACACGAGGGAGACTCTTCCTTTCCATTAGATGATGAAAACGAGACCCACTGGTTCTAAAGAGACCAAGATGACTCTGTTAGAATGATGCTGGCACCATGCTGAAGTACTCATCCCAACAATTCCAGCATCTTTTGCAATTCTCCACATCATCCTGGAGATACATGACTGCGTTTCAGCAGTCCACACAATGATTCCCATACAAACTTATTTTGGCATTGCAATAACATTTGCAAAATCAGGCTGGCGCAGAATCTTTTACGATCCCAGCCGGGACGACTTCAAAGAAGAACAATGAACTTCACATCTTCCCAGCTTTTATCAAGCATCTTTAGAACCAGGAGGAGTTACTTCCTACAGGTTTTTGTCCCTCATGGAATCTCCAGCCTTATGCCTGTTATTATGCTCCAGCAAGATACGAGCAAGCCCAGGTGTAGAGATCAAACCCACCAAATGCAAAAGTGCAGGAAGGTAGTTTAAAACCAGAAGAGAACAACAAAATTTCTCCATAGGTTCTTGAGTCAAGTCTAACACAGAGTCGTGAGAAGGAACACAGCGTTACAGAAGGACTTTTCCAGCCACAACGCTTTCTTATTGCACATTCCTCCGCGCTGGGGGAGCCGTGCTGCATTTTCAGTCGCAAGCACAGCACAAAATCCATCCCTGCCACAGAGCTGTGAAGTCACGGGGACCCCTCACAATGCCAAGGGGGCCTCGTGTCCCAGCACAGCACAAACCTCGCAGAACCATTGCGGTTGCATCCCGGCTCCATCCCACGTGAACATGGAGAGACAGCCGAGCGCGTGGCCCTGGGCAGAGCTGAGGCAGGCACTTCACACAGCCAGAACTGCAACCAGAGCACGGGACAGGGACAACCCCCTCGAAACCAGCACGCTTTAGAAAGCAGCTCCGTGATGCAGCAGAGCATCACTCCCCGGCGGCAGCCGCGCGTGACCGGGCAGAGCAGCCTGCTCCAGGGAATCACAGTGTCCAGCTCGCAGCAGTTTGGCTACTTAAAATAAAAAAATACAGTATACATACACACGCCGTGGCACACTTATCAAATTGCCATCACTGCTCGTAAAAAAACTCGGGCTGTAAGACTGTGAAACACATTCACAGAGTTAAAAGTTAATAAATTAGAAGCAGCTTTAAAAAAATAGGGGGTGGGAAAGGGAAGCTCTTCCAGGAGGAGATTTCAAATAAAAGTCAGAACAGTTTAAAATACACTTAAAAATTCCAGCGTTTCCTGGTAGGAACAGTCCTCAGTTTTCATCAGCTTTCTAGGGGAGAGGACAAGCTCCTTTGTACAAAGACTCAGTAAATCTATTTACAAAATCAACTTGGTCGCAGCTCCGTGCTGTTCACACGCTCAGAGAACGGCGTTTCGGCCAGACCCAGAGTGGTGCCTGGTTCCCCCTTGGCTTTCTGCCTTCGCTTCAAACCAAAACCAACGAAAACATAGAACGAAATTTGGTTTTCTGCTTTGAGAAACGAGAAGCCTTAAAAATTCCCTGGCCTTGGTTTTCCAACGAGTGGGAGCACTCAGAAGCTTTGGTCCTCTTGGCAAGGTGCAGCTCGCCGTGCGGCTCTGTTGCCTTCAGCCCTTCCATCCTCGAGGGACGGGCTGAGCATTTGGTCCCCGATGTGCAGCTGCACGGGCCAGTGGGGTGGGGGCTCCGCTGAGTGTCTTGCAGTTAAAAAAATAGTATTGTCATCATCATCATCATCATCATGATGAAAGTCACACGCCCATCCGTCCATTTGCAAGGCTTTTTGGTTTGCTAGAGCTGAAAGTTCCTGTCCAAGGTTGCACCGATGGAAAACCCCGCGACGCCAAAGCAGGTGCTGAAGCCGAGTGGGTCCCGGCTGCCCCCACCGCGTTTGGCTCCGCAGGTCGATAACTAATGGAAAGATCACGTCCTTCCCAAGGCTCAGGTGGAGAGGGACGAGCTCATCGAGGTACGACCCATCCTCATCGGCGGAAGGCCGGAGTCTTCCTCACAAAAATCCCCTGGGCTGCAGTGTAGCAGTTGTGCTGCCGGTAGTGCTGCAGCAGCAGCCCCCGCCACAGCAGGTTGGACTCCAGCAGGTACCGGTTCCCTGTTGGCACAGGGAGGGGGGCAGCGGGTTAGAATCATAGAATCATGGAATGGTTTGGGTTGGAAGAGACCTCAAAGACCATCCAGTTCCAACCCTGCCATGGGCAGGGACACCCTCCACTACACCAGGTTGCTCAAAGCCTCATCCAACCTGGCCTTGAACACTGCCAGGGATGGGGCAGCCACAGCTCCTCTCGGCAACCTGTGCCAGTGTCTCAGCATCCTCACTGTAAAAAATTTCTTCCTTAGATCCAATCTAAATCTCCCCTCTTTCAGTTTAAAGCCATTGCCCCTTGTCCTGTCACCACACACCCGTGTCCAAAGCCCCTCTCCAGGTTTCCTGTACCCCCTTTAGGTACTGCAAGGCTGCTGGAAGGTCTCCCTGGAGCCTTCTCTTCTCCAGGCTGAACAATCCCAACTCTCTCAGCCTGACTCCACGGCAGAGGTGCTCCAGCCCTCAGATCATCTCCGTGGCCTCCTCTGCCCCCACTCCAACAGCTCCATGCCCTTCTGGTGTTGGGGACTCCAGAGCTGAATGCAGCACTGCAGGGGGGTCTCAGGAGAGCAGAGCAGAGGGGTGGAATCCCCTCCCTTGACCTGCTCCCCACGCTGCTTTGGATGCAGCCCAGGACACGGGTGAGTGGCCAGAAGAGACTTGGACGATGCCATCACAGAAACTCTTGTCTAACGTTTCTAGCCCGAGGGTGCTGGATCATCACGTGCAGGGACGTTTCCTTTAGCCAGAGCTCTGTGAAATCCCAGCT